TTTTTGAAGAAACACTCAATAAGAGGAAATGCTTCCTCCATAGAATGAATGGTCAAACTTATTAGAATCTGATCCCTTACAAAGTCAAGATCTGATCGAAGCCCTATTAATGCCAAGACCATTAAAAATATATCTTCTTGTTGTTCTTGCGCAGTGATGTGTTACCGGATAATGGCATGAGAGCATCAAACTCATCTTTTAGGATTTCTTGCCCTAAATAACTTACAATATCTTGATGGTTCTGTTGGAGGTGAACAATATCTGAAACTACTTTATATATATGTTGCAAATCATTTGTGTATAGTTTTAGCATGGCCCAAATCTTGCAACAAGTATATTACAAGATTGAAATAAGTTAAGCAATTTAGGGTCAAAAGAATTCCACAAGTTATGCTGCACAGCTGTGCATCCATTTTCTTCCAATGAGCCCTCTTTGTGGCAATGATATCACTTGCATTCTTAACTAAGTGATCATCATAGCCTTGGCCCATTAACTCGACCGAGGTTGACCAAGACATATAATTACTGCTACCTTGCAGTTTTACATTGGTAATAGTTGGCGAACTTGAGATAGATGGAAAAAGAGGTTTGATGTCACCTGTGATTGAGGAATCACCTTTCTCTCTCATTAGTTTGCTTAAAAATTATCCAAGCCAAGGATTCAAAGTATTGTGATAGAAAAGAAAGGTGAAAGACGTGCGCATCCTTAAACGGTTACTGGAATAGTGGCTGTTGGAACAGTCACAGGGGCTCCGATACCATGTATAGAAATAAAAGAGTGTAAAGATATAAAAGAGAGAAAGAAGATAAATTGGAGGTTATGATTTGTTCTTTGAGCATCATCTGAATTTATAGTGTTATAATACAATTACAGTTGCACCTAACCCATTTAATTCCTATCTACTAAATCATACAAAGTCATACACAATCTTAACATAACATTTATCGACCTACCAAATCATTCATACTTGTCCAGTTTGGTGCTTTGGGGGTGGAAACAACAATCAAACTTTAGGGTATGTTTGGAAAGCCACTAGGTAATTGGAATTGGTGTAATTACTAGGGTAGTAATTACACAGCCTAGTAATTACACAGTTGTGTAATTACGACGGCCTGTTTGTTTGTCATAGTGTAATTACAAGTTTACTGTTTGGTTGCACAAGTGTAATTACACAGTTAGATTAAATTTTAAATGAAGTAATTATCAAAACTTAAAAGTTAATATAATAAATATATGCCTATAAATTTTTATAAGTATAAATGATATTATATTTGGTATTTAAGATGTATATTTTTTGTGAATATACATTAATTAATAACCATATATTTATAACTAATATTGCAAAAATAATTTTAATATATATATATATATATATATATATATATATATATATATATATATATATATATATATATATATATTAAAATAATAATATTTAGTTTAGATACTTACAAAAACTAAAAACATACGTTTTATAAGAACATCATGGAGTTCATGTTTGATAAAATAAATTAATACTTATAGATATAATATCATAACATTATTCAAATGTTTGACAAAACTAATCTATCAATTCTAACTAAAAAAGAACAACATGCGATGTGAGTCAATACTACTAAAAAAATTAAATTGGAACCACGAATATAACACAATTTCAAAATTCAAAAAAAATATATAGTTTAACATATGTCAAATTCCAACATAATAATAGTAAGTTCCACCACAACTTAAGATTAGGAAACATAATAAATTTATAACCACATTCAACAACGAAATTTTACTTTAATTGCATCACTCATTATATGCTAGGTTTGTTAATGACTCATTATTTCTAATATTAGGAGGTGTAATTTCAAAAAATAGAATAATAAAATAAATAATAGATAAAATATAAGCAATTACATGGAATAACAAGAAGTAAAGGTAGGGAAATAAAAGATAAATAATGTACAAAGAAAAATAATTTTAAAATTTCAAAAGAAATTAAAAAGTAAAATAAAATTAAGAAATTAAAAAACTAGAAATAAAAAGTTATAAAAAAAATAAATTAAAATAAAAACAAAAAGGAAAGAAACTAAAAAGCAACCTTGTAATTACCACTAATTATCACCTCCCCCTTGAGAATTGGAGAGTGTTATTATACCCTCCAATTACACCCAATTTCATGCTGACCAAGTAATTACTTGGCCAAACAAACATGCCAAACTATGTAATTACACCCAAATTCATTTCCAAGGTAGCTTTACAAACATGCTCTTAATAGTGTTGATTTCATGGGAAAACATGGTTTTGAATTTTGTACTTAAGGATCACTAGACGTTTTTCTGGAATATCGTATGGTTTCTTGTAAATTGTTAGATAGCTTCTCAGTTTGTATAGGTATGCTACATTGCACAGTCCTTGTATTTGAACAATTTATACATGCATTAGAATGTTGAGTTTTAGAGTCAAAGTGAAGTGTTGGAAGAATTGAGCTCTTGAGTTTAATATTCTCATATTTGGACAAACATCGAATGTATTGTGATACTTTCCCGCATTAGACAATGTATCTCGTGTCTAACTCCTATAATATGTGTCTCATGCATTCACCATATTATCAACTCATCATTATATTTCTTCTCTTCTTTGAGTCAATTTTTTTCTTCCTATTCCAACGATTTAAATCATTGTCATGTCTTACTATTCCCCAACGATTTAAAACTGAAAGGTGTTTCCTGGGATAGCATCAACAGATGCCAAAGGAACTGCTGTCCACTTCTGGTTTCTAGAATTCTATTTGTGCTGTTTCTCATTTGTCAACTGAGGATGTTTATCTTGGTTATTGCAAATCAATTAGTTTCTTCATGGAATTACTGCCATTCATAGTCCTATTGGACGTAATAGGCAAGTACTAGTTATTATGACAGAAAAAAGTGAAGATGACCTGTGAAAGGATCAAGTGGCAGCAGCCCAAGGGCTTTGGTCTAGTGGTAAGAGCACAACATGTGATGTGTGAGTTAGGCATAAGTCAGAGGCGCGGACCTGTCACAGACAAAAATCCTGGAATTTGAGTGGAGAGAAGGGTAGAGGGGCAGACCCATTACTACCGAGCTTTTGAACCGTGCGTCAATCACCCTCGGGGATTACTCGGTTGTTTAAAAAAGAAGGAACTCTCCTATAAAAAGAAGGATACACAAACAAAAAGAGAGAGGGCAAATCGAAGTCGTCCCAGGGAACATTTTGGCTTTAATTGTTTGAGCTCCCAGATTCCACTTTTAATAAGTGGCTATTGGGACGAGAAATCACTCTTTCCACCAGTGGCAGTTGAAAATTGATGAAACTTGAGCATTGTCATATCCATTTTACTTGCGGTCCATTTCTCTTAGCACATTTTCGCAGACTGGTAACTGTTATGATATATGGAACTAAGAGGCACACTTCAGGTATCGGTTAATACCTTGAGTTGACTTTCCCTTAAAAGATTATTTTCTTCATTGTTAATGGTTTTCAGTCTGCCAAAGCTCCATTTATGGACGCGGGAGTTTATCTTAGGTATGAAAGCCTTCCAGCTCTAGGTTTTGAAATTGAATATTCTGAGAATAATATCTTAAGAGAGGAGATAGAATATGTGGATGCACGAATAGGAAATGTTGATGCTCAATTTTGTGTTAAGATTTCTTTTTGGAGTGAGGAGCTTTATGCAATGTGGTTGGTTCAAATCCAGGTCATATATAAGGTGTCATGTTGCCAATCCTAAAGGAAGTATACTGATATATTTGTCAGAATTCTGATTTCTTTCAAATTTTCTGTACAAATCAGTTGTTGAGAAATGTGCATTCTATTGGAAGGAGCAGAAAGGGAGCTGTCCTGGGGAGTTGTAAATTAGATGCATCTCTTAACTCCAATTTTGGATCCCCGCCTAAATAGTTGCTGCTGAATAGGTGGAACCGGAAATTCCCTTGTATAAAAGATAAGGAAGCAACTGTGCAGGATTTGCTTGGTGATGTTGTAAACCTGTTACCTATTTTAGGTTAAACTGATATTTCTGCCAGAGTAGAGTAGTCGATAGTTCCAGTGAATTACGGCTTCCGACGCAGTTCGACCTTTTAGGATGATGAAACTTGAGTGTATAACAGGTCCACTTTATATTGAATAGTGGGTCCAGCTTACGAAGTTTTGGCCTTATAATCTCATAGACTTCGACAGTTTTCTCTGTCTTTGAAAGTCTTTGGCGCCACAAAAGTCTTTCTAATTATTGAAGACTGGTCATGCACTCTGTTAGGTTTTCTGATCAATTAAATAACACTTATGTGTTATATTATTTTGACTTGATCTTTTCAAATATTACATTAAATTCTTTTTGCTGGAAAAGCTTGAACTAGATTTTCATCATGTTTGATTCGTAATAGTGCAGGCAGACTTAAGATAGTTCACTCTCTTTTTTAATATATTTGTTTGCCTGATAATAGTTATACAAATAAGTGCCTGCTGCTGGCACTTCAAAGCCTCCTCAGGCCTCGATTCAGCTGCTTGAATTGTAAGCAGATCAATGTGTATTAGTGAAGGCTGAGGTTGCTTTCCTCTCTTCACTTGATTTTGGAAAATCAATCCCGTCGTATTAGTGTGATTAAAGTGAGGATAAATGATTATTCTGGAAACTGGTATTCAGTAGGTTTTAGGTTAACGGAACGAACTCATATTTGAAAGTACATCTCATTTCGCGCGTCATGTTTTGAGTATATCAACCTCGCAGTGGATCTCTCCTTGACCTGTCCATGAAGGTTCTTGCTTCACTTAAGTCGTTTCTTGTTAGTTCAGATGCTGCAAAGTATCACCCCCTCTCCCAGACACGGAAAAGAAAAAGATAAAGACTGCAGAAGATAATTTATATTTTATCTCCTTTTGCTGCATTTCATTTATGGATTATTCAACTAGAAACATGAAAGTAGTTCTGTTCCAGTGCCTTGTGTAGCTGAATATGTTGCCTGAGAAACTCACAATCTTTTTCATTTGGATGTAGGGATCTGGAACCTGGGTTGATATTTGAGAACTTTCATGGGACATTTTGCTTATGGAGACTGACATCAGTGTTTTCTTCAAGTAGTAATAAGAAGGATGATTTTTAGCAACATAAATCATTGTTCATTTTTTGTGTAGAAGTGAGGAAGACTTGTTGCATAAAATTCCTGTTAGGATTTTCACTTTGAGCTTATATGCTATAGATATTATTTGTAGCTACTCATGATAAATTTTTCTTATACTCGGCCGAGATGTTATTTAACGCTTCTTTTCATAAAAAGAACTTTGGTGTGTACTGGAAGCTAGCTTGTTGTGATTCCTGCGTCGATCAGTTTATATGGCATATTTGTTAAATTGAAGTTGTTGCTTATGGATGTATTTATTGGAATATTTCTCTTAGTTCAAACCCATTTAGACAGTGCAGAAGAATAATGATATACTGTCATTCAAAACAATGCAGGCAAAATTAAATACCACTTTTAGCTTTAAGCAACTAATTTGTACTCTTTCCCCCGCGTTAAAAAATGAAACGATAAAGGAAAACGTTTTCCTCGAGTTGAAGAGGTTATTTTTTGTTTTGGAGCAAGATACAACAGAATAAAGAAATTGTCGTACTAGTGCAAGGGCTAATCAAAGGAAGGCAGCAATATGGAGCTCAAGTTTCAATCAATCAGGACAAAGGTGCAATGAATGGGAGGGTGTCGATGCACGCTGATTAAACCCTTCGGATTCTTAGAAAACTTGAATTGAAGCTATTGCATGAGTTCTTGGGGAGGTCTTTAAAGGCAACAAGAAGTAGGGGTGTTCCAAACCAACTGAAATCGAAAACCGAAGCTTAATAGTTTATTGGTATCGGGTTAACGGTTTAACGGACGGGGAACGGAATGAAACTTTTTTATTAACGGCTTATCGGTTCGGAGGCGGATTATTCAATTTTCTTAATGGATAATCCGTTAACCCGTTAAGAATATATATATATATATATATATATATATAATATATATATATATATTTTTTTTAATCCATAATATATTAAATAATCAAAAAACCTTCTTCCACTTTCAGTACTCTATCTTTAACGCCTAAATAATCAGAAACCCTAACGCCTAAATTTCGACCAGCAGTACTCTATCTCGTCGACTTCCAACACTCTATCTCGTCGACTTCCACTTTCCAGCACTCTATCTCGTCGACTCGCCGTCTTCCTCTCGTCGACTCGCCGTCACCCTCTCGCAGTCTCGCCGACTCGCCGACTCCCTCTCGCCGACTCGCCTCTCCATCTTGCCGTCTCGCCTCTTCCTCTCGCCATAGCTAGAGCAGCAGATGGTAAGTTTCTTTTCTTGTTGATGTTCTTTAAAATCAAAGAGCATCTCAATTCTCAAAGTATTCAGATGCTTGCTTCAGTATACGTAAACAGGAACTCATCTGTTGAAACATAAACACTAAGGGTGTGTTTGGTATAACGGAAAATATTTTCCGTGGAAAATATTTTCCAAGAAAATGTTTTCTTGAAAATCAAGTAGTAATCTTATTCATTTTCAGGTGTTTGGTACGCAAATTAAGAAAAATAACTTCTCAAGAGTATTCATAAATAATTTAGATATAATAAACATGAAGCCATAAACTTTCAAGCCAACAACCTTCCGGACCAACAAATTTCATAAACTTTCGAACCGCTAAACTTTCCAAAAATCACGGAATTTCGAACCCCGTAAACTTTATAATTTCTGAACCCGTAAATTTCCAAACACATAACCTCCAAACTCATAATTTTGGAAACTTAGTAAAATTTTGAGCCCTTTAAACCGATAAATAATAAAAATTAAAACTGAAAATTATATTTAAAAATTTTTTTTTTGGGGGGGGGGGGGGGGCGGGGGGGGCAGGGTGGGGGCTTGGGTGGGTGGTGCAGAAAAATGAAAAAACAGAAATTTGAAATTGCAAAAAAAAAAAATGAAGGTAAAAAAACTATATTTTTTTGCGCGCGGGAGGGGAGGGGGGATGGAGGGGTAGTAGGGTGGGTGGTAACGGAAAAACTGAAATTTGAAAAAAAAAAAAGCCATTTTTGGAGAGGGGGTGGGGTAGGTTGGTGAGGGTGGGGAAGGTTGAGAAGGAGCTTTGGAAAATGTTTTCCCTTCTCTTGATAAGGAAAACATTTTCCTCCAATTGGAGGAAAATAAATTGATAAGGAAAATATTTTCCAAAACATTTAAGCCAACCAAACATGGAAAAATTGGAAAACATTTTCCGGAGTACCAAATACACCCTAAGTTTTGTGAAGAATCAGAAACTTCTCACTTTAAAAGCATACAAAATTTAGGATGTTTGACTCTGTTCTCAGTATACAAAATTTAAAAGCAAGAGTAATCAGCAGGGTGTTTTAAAGTTCACAAAACTCATCTGTTTTGAGATCGATTTTGACAGTACCTGTATAAATATCTGTTAAGCAACTTGTTATTCTCATTCCTTTTCTTTTTGTCACGGCCCTATTCCCGGACCCGGTCGTGATGGTGCCTCTCGTGAAGACAAGGCCAGCCAACTATTCCCTATTCGAAGTTAAACAACTAAACATTAAGCAAACCAGGCTAAAACATGATATAGTACTAAGCAGCAGATAATATCATAATAATGCGGAAGTACAACCCAAACACAGCCCTAACCGGGGTGTCACTAGTCATGAGCATCTATAAGTCATAATATAAGTATGCTAAGTCTATACGCTAGTACAAATGTCTGAATATCAATAGAAGTGATAAAGGAGGAGAAACACGGGACTGCGGACGCCAGGAAGCTACGTCGTGGACTCCGAATGTCCGCCGGAAGCTGGAAGGGTCAGCAATCGGGAGCGGAACTAGATACGCCTGAATCTGCACACAGGGTGCAGGGAGTAAAGTGAGTACTCCAACTCAGTGAGTAGTAATCATAAATAAAGACTGAGTGATAAGAAATCACGAAAAGTGCATCAACATGCTATATAGAAGTAGTACAAAACCAGTAAGAAGGCAATGAAGCTATGAAATCTCTTAAAACATCTTAGCTCAGTTTAATCTTCTTCAAAAAATTTGGCTTTTCAACATTTAAGCAATTGAATGCAGAGCAACTAAAACAGGTAAGCATAGAGAATCTCGGGCACAATTACATAACTAAACAGGTAAATGACAAGTAAATAAGACAGATAAACACATAAAGGTTCTCCCCTCAGGCACGATGTTAACAACTCTGCCCCTCGGGCAATATCTCAGATCAATACCAGCCCCTTGGGCAATCACATAGAACAATACCAGCCCCTCGAGCAATCACATAGAACCATACCAGCCCCTCGGGATATATCTCACATCAGAATGGGTACCCGCGCTCACTGGGGCGTGCAGACTCCTGGAGGGGCCCCTTACTGCCCAAGCGCAATATCAAGCCATCTCGTGGCGTCATCACTAGGCTCTCGGCCTCATATCAATCAAGCCACCTCGTGGCATACATGTCTCAGGCCCTCGGCCTCAAATCAATATCAGTGTTTCCTCACAACATAGGCCCTCGGCCTTACTCTGTCAAAAATCCTCACGAGCCACTCAGGCAATAGTAAAATAATGTTTCTCAGCCCAACATCATTTAAAAATATCATATAAGTATTAAAACCGAGTAAACATGGCTGAGTATAAAAACAGTGAAAAATAACATGACTGAGTTCAAGTATAAAGTCAAAACAGTAAGGAAATATCAATAAAAATCCCCGAAGGGTTCAAATAGTTGGCACGAAGCCTAAACATGGCATTCAACCCAAATAATGATGATAGCAAATAGACTTCAGTCAAATACGCGGTAAAATCATCAATCAGGACGGACCAAGTCACAATCCCCAATAGTGCACGACCCCACGCTCGTCATCGAGCGTGTACCTCACCACAATATAGCGCTACGATGTGCAATCCGGGGTTTCAAACCCTCATAACATCATTTACAATCATTACTCACCTCGATCCGGTCCAAACTCTAGCCCGCGATGCCTTTGCCCGCACGAATCGACCTCCGGATGCTCCAAATCTAGCCACAATCAGAACATGACCATTAAAATATGCTAAGGGAACAAAGCCCACTCGAAAATATCCAAATTACATTAAAAAATCCCGAAATTCTCAAACCCGGCCCCTGGGCCCACGTCTCGGAATTCGATAAAATTAACATCAATGGAATCCTCATCCTCTCACGAGTTCATACATATCAAATTTACCAAAATCCGACCTCATGTGGTCACTCAAATTCTAAAAGTTCACTCTCCAATTTCAAGCCCTAAATTCTCAACTCTTCCTCTAATTTCCCACAAAATTTCATGATTAGATAATGATATAATCACCATAAACACAAGGTATAAAGCCCAAGTACCTTACCTCTGTGGATACACTTGATCCCCTCTTGAAATCACAGCTTGGAGCTCCAAAATCGCACAAAAAATGGTGAATAAAAGACTGAAAATCGCGAAGGGGCATTTTTATACATTCTACCCGGCACTTCCGCACCTGCGCTTTCGCTTCGCCGGAAAAATATCCGCTTCTGCGGATTTCACTTATGACACCAGGCCCCGCTTCTGCGGTCAATCCACCGTACCTGCGGTATCGCATTTGCGGTCAAATTGCCGCTTCTGCGGCTTTCACTTAAAATCCAAAAATCGCATCTGCGACTACGTAGCCGCACCTGCGCCACCGCAGGTGCGGTCAGCCACCGCATCTGCGGCTCCTGCACTTCTCTTCCTCGACCGCTTCTGCGACTAAAACTCCGCTTATGCGGCACCGCACCTGCGGTCCCCAATCCGCAGGTGCGAAAATACCAGAAGCAGCAAATTCAACAGCTGCAACAAAAATCCAAACTTCTCCGTTAACCATCCGAAATCACCTCGAGGCCCCCGGGACCTCAACCAAAAGCACAACATATTCTAATACCTTATTCAAACTTGTTCAATCATCAAAATACCTCGAACAACATCAAATCACCCAAAACACATCGGATTCAAGCCAAACTTTCTAAAATCTTCCGAATTTTGCTTTTGATCAAAAACCCAACCAAACCACGTCCGAATAATCTGAAATTTTGCACACACATCCCAAATGACACAACGAAGCTACTGCCACTCTCGGAATTCCATTCTGACCCCTATATCAAAATCTCGCCTACCAACTGGAAATCGCCAAAATCTCTAATTTCGCCAATTCAAGCCTAAACCCTCCACGGACTTCCAAACTGTATTCCGATCACGCTCCTAAGTCCCAAATCACCTAACGGAGCTAACCGAATCATAAAAATTCCGATCCGAGAT